AGCGCCTTGCCTGTGCCCACATGCTGTTCTCAGGCCTCCTGCCACCAGGCAGGACGGGAGCCAGGCCTGCCCGCCCCATGAGCAAACACCCACCGCCTGACCCATTTCACCAGCTTCCGCATTCGGCAGTCCTGGGCCCTGGGCACATGACCTCCCTTCTCTGGACTTAGGAGCTTGCCTCCCCAGCTCACAGCAGGGGCCGGGGTGAACCCTCGCTCAGAGGGGTGCCCGATTACAGTGCTTGGAGTTGGGGTGTCCCCAGCACCCCCAGGCTGCCAGCGCAAGGACCCATCCAAGCTCTTAGAGCGTGGCCCGTGGGCCTTCCCGACGGCTGGGTGCTGGGGCTGTTGACCCACCTCCTGGGTGAGGGGACAGGCCTCTGGGTGTTCCTGCTCTCAGCGGGATTGGAACCTACATTCCCAGATTTACAGATTGGGGTGATCTCATCAACGCTGCAGGGAGAGGAGGCTGGGGCTGAGGACCTTCCCTGAGGCCTCACCCCACTCGGCCCTGCAGAGACAGGCAGGGGATCCGCCATGTCGGGGGAGATGTTGGTGTGCTCAGAGCCCCATGTGTACACATGTGCACACACATGCGCACACATGCATGCAGTACTGCAGGCTTTTCCACCCCTCAGGCAGTCACAGCCCACTCCACTCTACCATTCCATGGCTCCCCGTGTCCTAGGAGAAAGCTAGGAACCCAGGGGTGTGGCCACCTGGACTCCCTGGCCTCATCTCCCCTGACCCTCCTCCCACAGCCACATACTCCAGCCTCTGGCAAAGGCCATCGGCTTCACCCACATTCGGGAGTCACCAGTTCCACTGGCACCACCTGGTTCAGAGTCCTCCTTGCCCCTTGGGTTGGTTCTCACCCGCCTTCTCGCTGAGGACCTGGCCCTCCCATTCACCACCATCCAGTAGCCCGAGAACTTTCTTTCAATCCTTTTAAGCCAAGGATATTTTTTCCATTGATCTGTAGAGACAGAGTGGAAGGGAGCGAGGGGGAATAAAGAGAGAGAGAAAAACATCAGTGTGAGAGAGAGACACTGGTTGCTTCCTGCAGGCACCCTGACCTGACCGGGGCCAGGGATTGAACCTGCAACCAAGGTACATGCATGCCTTTGATCAGGAATCAAACCGTCATCCTTTGTCTGGGGGCCAATGCTCTAACCACTGAGCAAAACCAGTCAGGGCACCAGAGAACTTACTAAAACAGAAACTGGACCCTGCCCATCCCCTGCTCGGAACCTGCATGGCACCCTAGTGTCCTTGGGAGAAGAGCCCAGGGTCTTAACTGTGAGCCAGACAGTGGTGGGATGAGGCGGGACTTCTTAACCGTTTCATCTTGCTTTAACTTGCCATGATCTCCTGGCTGTAGCAAATGCACTTCCCTTACCTGGGAAACTTCCCCAGGCGCTTCACCTGACCCTGTGCGTCCTCCAAGTGGCAGCTCTAATGTCTCCTCCAGGAAGCCCTCCCTGACCACTTCCTCTAATTCCCCCCTCTCCCCCAGCTCCTTGGAGTCCCACATTCCAGCTCTGTCCACTCTGGGTCATTACTGAGAAAAGTCATTCTCCACTGAGCTGAGGACAGCTGGGGCGCCTTGGTCACGGCCACGCCCTTGGCACACAGGAGACGCTGCCAGAACGTTGGCTGAAGGCATGTTGCCAGTCCTGACTTCACAAGCACGTATCCAGCAGTGGGACCCTCCTGGGCCCACATTGACACTGATGGAGAGACTGACATAGCCAGCCAGCAGGTGCTCCCCTAGCCCCGCCCTTGGACATTGGGGGATTCTGTGTACACAGCAGGGACCGAGACACCCCAGGTCTGCCCTTAAGGGGCTGAGGATTTCTGACATGTCCTTTCACTTATTCATCCGACACACAGTTGTGAGACCTGACATTGGCAAGGGGCAGAGGCTGATCAGGCGGGCTCCTGGGAGCCACTGTTCCACGTCCCTCATGAGCCAAGCCCTAGTCTAAGAGCTGTGTGTGGTTTATTTCAAGAAGTATAATACTGATGTTCCCATCACCTTACAGACCTTTACTGTACTCTCCACTGCGTCCCCATTGGTCTCCGCTCCAGACTCCTCGCTATTACTTGAATGTGCCACGCGTGTTCCCACCTCATGGATGGGATAGTCAATAGCAGCAAGGAGACTGGAATGGACTGGATCCTTCAGAGTTTCAGCTCTTTGCTCAAATGTTATCCCAGAACCTTCCTCAAGGAAGGTTCCCAAATAGTACCCTCTAACCTCAACCCACACTAGAATATCCTGCTTTATTCAACAATACTGCCATCACCACCAGACCCGTTTTTGCTTATCTATTTCCGTCTGTCTCCCTCACTTGGATGTCAGTGTCATGATGGGAGGGCTTTTGTCTTTTGTGTTCTCTGCAATGTTCCCAGCTATTGGAACAGTGCCTGGCGCCATCACACATCACACTCTAATAATTAAGCCCAATGCTTACAAGAGCAGATGAGAAAATGGAGAGAAATTAAGAAACTGTCCAAGGTTTCAGAAATTGAGAAAACTGTTCAAAGTGTTAGAATAGTGCCCAGCACGTTTAAGAGCTGTATACAAGTGCCATTCTTAGCATCTTTATTTATTGATTTGAGAGAGACGTCGATTTGTTTTTCCACTTATTTATGCATTCATTAGTTGATTCTTGTATATGTTGTGACCAGGACTTAAACCCACAACCTTGGCGTATCCGGCCAATACTATTAGTATCATATAATCCTCACAACCATCCTATTTGGCCCATTTTACAGATTGGGCTCAGAGTGATGCAGTCAGTTGCCCAAGGTCACGCAGCCTATAGGTGGGAGACCTAGGATTTGAACCCAGGCGCTCTGATTCTGGACCCTCAATCATAACCTCCTTTGCAATGCCCTTGTATGCAGATTACAGCTTACAGGCCAAATGCAGCCTTTCCCAGCTTTTGTGTAATTTTTAAATAGTTAAAGAAGCTGAGGGAGAATATTTTGTTTCACATGAAAATTATACAAAATTCAAATTTCATATCTCTGTACTGTCTGGGTGCTTTTGCGTTGTGGCAGAGTTGAATGTTGAGACCTGTCTGGCCCTCAGAGCCTAAAGTGCAATATATTTGCTATCTGGCCCTTGGCAGCTTTTAAAAGTTTGCTCAATATTTTGCTGTCTAGCAGGTAGCACTCCAACTTGAGCCTGAAGAGCTTGGGGCCGCACTTGAACTAACTGCTGCTGCTTCCCAGAAGAGTCACCAGGCCTGGCTTGGTGAGGGCTGTGTCCCCAGTGCCCAGTGCAGGCCCTGACACACAGCAGATGCTCATTAAGTGTATGTCCAATAATTTTTAAATTTTATTTTTTAAATCTAGTTTATTAATTTTTTACACAGAGGAAGAGAGAGGGATAGAGAGTTAGAAACATCGATGATAGAGAAACATCTATCAGCTGCCTCTTGCACACCCCCTACTGGGGATGTGCCCGCAACCAAGGTACATACCCTTGACCGGAATTGAACCTGGGACCATTCAATCTGCAGGCTGACGCTCTATCCACCGAGCCAAACCGGTTTCAGCTAAATTTTATTATTTTTTAAATCCTCACTCAAGGATATTTTCCCATTGGTTTTTAGAGAAAGGGAAAGACAGAAATATCGATGTTAGAGAAACACACCGATTGGTTGCCTCCTGCATGCACCCCAGCCAGGGCTCGGGCCAGGGAGGAGGTGGCAACAGAGCTACATGCCCTTGACCAGAATCAAATCCGGGGCTCTGGTCTGCAGTCCAACGCTCTACCCACTGAGCAAACTGGCCAGAACTTTTAATTTTTAATTTTTTAATTTTATGTGTTTAATCATTTGTTGACCATGGAGATAAGAGAAACACTCAAATTTTACACAAGGAGATGTAGCATTCTGTGGTCAGGGTGCCCGGCATTCAAGTTGGAACCGATGGTCATTCTGAAGAACGGGAGGCTTTAGGACTATGATCTAACCAAATGGCTGCCCCTCCTTGAGCCTCAGTCTCCCCTCTGCAAGGAATCCTGGTTCTATCACATGCCTCTGATGTGACTGTGAGATATAAAGTATCTGTGAGCCCCCAGGTAGGCACTTTGCTTAAGGGTCAGGCACACAGCTCAGGATGTACGCTGGGGCTACATTGACATCGTTTCCGGACTGAGGTTCTGAGCCTTGAAGCTGGAAATGCTCTGGGAAACTTGAAAGGGTTGTAGGGAGGAATAAAACATCCATCCAATCATTGAATTCATTTGGGGGGGGGGGGTACCTACTGTGTTCCAGGCGCTGTTTCTGGTGCTAGGGATATAGCAAGGAACAAAACGGGCAAATCCTAGAGCTGACATTCTAGATTTAAACTGACATTCTATAGTTAAAATACCTTCACTCTCAATCTGCAGAAAATGAGGAGAGAAACCATGGAAGTTTCCTAAAGTTCATTATCAACAAAAGCTGTAGAGCTAGCTCTCCTGATCCCAAAGCTTCCCTTCCATCCAGAAAAACAACAGGTTCAAGTCCCGCTGGCAGACTTGGGGGTGGGGGTGGGAGCCTCAGTTCCCAACTTGCTCCATGGGTAGGGCGGGAATGGCTGTAAGCTGGCCTCAGTTGGCTCCGCCATGGCCAGCAGCACTGGCCCCTCCCCAAACGCCCAACCTTCTCTTCCCGGCCGGCCCCGCCCCCGGGACCACGTGACGCGCGGGGGTTTTCCCGTTCCCCTAGTGAGACGTCACGGCGGGGTGAGAGCCAATGGACGCGCAGGCCGGCAGCGCCGGGGAATTCCGCCGCCCCGCCCCCGCCCGCCGCTCGCCCGGCCCGGCCCGCCGCCCCCCGCAACCCCGGGCGCCGCGCGTCCTGCCCGGCCTGCGGCCCCAGCCCTTTTGCTGCTCGCCCGACCCGCGATCGTCCGGCGATCCGCGCCGCCCGGCCGCCGGCCTGCCCCGTGTGTGTTTTGTCGGGGCCGGTCTCCGGGCCATCGGTCCCCACTGGTCGGGCCATGCCGAGTCGCCGCGTCGCCAGACCGTCCGCTGCGCCGGAGCTGGGGGCCTTGGGTAAGCGGGGGCCGGGGTTCAGCAGAGGAGTCGGGCGGGATTCGTGATGCCAGGGTTCTGGGGGTCCCTAAAGGAGTCCGGGGGTTTTGTGGGGAGAGTGTGGGGACTCGGGGGACTCTGTGTTAGCGGGAAGGAAGAAGGCAGAGGATGGTGACAGGGTCTGGCCCGAGGTAAGAGAGAGGCGTCCCACTACAGAGTGAGGAGGGGGCGGGGCCTGATCCTGAGGCAGAGAAGGGGGCGGGGCCAACGCCAAGGGAGAGGGCGGGGCCTACTCGGAGGAGGAAGAGCGGGACCAGCTCCTGCGGGGCGGGGGCGGGGCCAGACTCCGTGAGCGTGAGAAGGGGGCGAGGCCTGGCTCTCAGAAGGGGCGGGGCCTAACCTAGAAGGAAGCAGGGTCCTCCTCGGAGTAAGGGGCGGGGCCTGGGGTAAAGGGGGACGGAGGCTAGCCCTGAGGGGCGATAGCAGGGGCTGGACTCCGGTAGAGGGAACGTGGGGACCCTTTGGGAAGAAGAAGGAAGGGGCCTTCCTCAGAGCAGAAAGAAGGGGGAGTGCTTGCCTCGGAGAGCAGTGGCAGGGTCTGAGAAGGGAGAAGGAGACTGGCTTGACATTGAAAAAGTGAAGGGTTAGAGTTTGATCCCGAGAGAAGGAGGGAACGGTACCTTTCCTATCCGAGGCTGAAGATTCCTAGAGACCCGACCTTAAGGGAGAGAGGAAGCAGAGCCTGGAAAGGTGAGGTGAAATGATAGAAACTAAGGAACCTGCTCCCGAGTTAGGAAAGGAGGCAAGGCCAGACTCCCGGCGAGGGTGAGAACGGGATGGGGGGCAGGAGAGGAAGAGAGTGGAACTTGACAGGTTTCTGAGGGATCTCCATTGCCTCCCTGCTGCAGGGACCCCGGACCTCTCCTCGCTCTCGCTGGCCGTTTCCAGGACCACGGGTGAGCAGCCCTCCACAGCTCCTGCACACTCAGGACAGGGGAGGGGGGAACCCATTGGGCACAGCTTTCCCTGATGGTGTCCTTCCCTGCTCGTCTAGATGGGGGTTCCAGATGCCCCTACCTCCCAGGGGATTAGGAGCTGGACAGGTAAAGCTAAGCACCTCTTCACCTGGCAGTGCAGAGATTCACATGGCAGTGCACAGGGTAATAATCACTCTTGTGCTTTGGGGCTGCAAGTCACTTCCCCTCTCTGGGCCTCAGTGTTCCTCATCTGTAATATGGACATAATATTAGTGTCTTCCCCTTTTAGGAGAATTGACAGGATTTAATGAGCTGATATAGGTAAACTTTCAAAGCAGTGACTGGCGTACAGTCAAGGCTCAATAAGAGTTAACTGTTAGTGGTGTAATAATAGTCCATAACAGTAGCTCTTTTTTTTTCTTTTATTTTTTTAAAATACAGTTTATTGATTTTTTTTTTTTTCTACAGAGAGGAAGGGACAGGGATAAAGAGTTAGAAACATCAATGAGAGATAAACATCCATCAGCTGCCTCCTGCACATCTCCCACTGGAGATGTGCCTACAACCAAGATACATGCCCTTGACTGGAATGGAACCTGGGACCTTTCAGTTTGCAGGCTGGCGCTCTATCCACTGAGCCATAACAGTGGTTCTTAAACCTGTACGTGCATTAGAGTCACCCTGAGAGCTTGTTAACACAGATCGCTGGGCCCCACCTCCAGAGTTCCTGGTTCAGGAGGCCTAGGATGGTTTCTGAGAGTGTATTTCTAGCACGTTTCCAAGAGATGCTGAGAACCACTGGTCTGTAAGGCCCCTCAGCGCGTGCCACCCAACATTCAGTGCCGCCCAAGAAAATGCAGAATCATAGCCAAAGGAAACATCTCTCTCCCTAATATGCTGAGGTTTGGAGTGCAGGGATGAGTCCTGTCACCATGGAAACTCAGCGGTCCCAGTGGGCTGAGCCTGAGCCTCCCTCTGGAGGGAGAGTCTTGGGATGGACACAGACATGCTGGCCTGGCTGTGGAGGAGGACCTGGGATTCTCAGCAGATCTGTGAGTTTGGGTGGTGGTGAGCGGTTGGCGATGGCACTGGGGACAGGCGCTGCCCAGACACTGGTTCTGGGCTGGAACAAGGCCTAGACTTTTCTTTCCTGAGACCTAGATCTTTGGTTTCAATGGAAGTAATTTCTGACGTCACCCATTCAATACATATTTATTGAGTTCCTGTTCTGTCTGTACCTGGCTCTGAGCTGGGCAGTGCTGCGGACGCAGCAGCGACTGAAACAGCCTTGGCCCTGCCCTCATGGGATTCCCTACCTGGATGTGGAGGTGGACACGTAAACAATAAATTAAACAAGGGATTATAAAGTGTGATAGAGGCTAGGAAGGAACCTTGGAGTCAGTAATATCTCATAGAAGGCTGAGGATAGGAGCACTACTGAGACAGAGTGGGAGGGAAGACTTCCTTCGTGTGTTTTTTTTCACCATTTAAAAAAATATATATTTTATTGATTTAATACAGAGAGGAAGGGAGAGAGATAGAGAGCTAGAAACATCAATGAGAGAGTCATCGATCAGCTGCCTCTTGCACACCCCCTACTGGGGATGTGCCCGCAACCAAGGTACATGCCCTTGACCGGAATCAAACCCTGGTCCCTTCAGTCCCCAAGCCAACGCTCTATCTATTGAGCCAAATCGGTTTTGGCTCCTTCGTTTTGATGGACAGACACATGCAGGGTCCTGGGTACAAACAGCGGCAATGGGGCGAACATGTTCCTCGCTCTGTGGCACTCCTAGTCTCCAGCAGACAGACAGGAATCACTGTAATACAAGGTCATGTCAGATTCTAATGTAAATTATGAAACAAAGGCACCTAACTGTAAGTGGCTATCGTAAGGGTTCTATCTTGGATAGAGGTCAGGGAAGACCTAGCTAGGAGATGACATTTGCAGAGAAGGAGGCCATGCAAAGAATTAGAGGAAGAGAATCCTGGCACAGACCAGCCTGTGCAAAGGCCCAGAGGCAGGGAAGACAACTGGCTTCCTGCTCTCAAATCTGCTCCAGTGTGGCCCGTCCTGGCTGCCCTTGGATGGCAGCAAGTCTATGTGGAGGTTGCGGGGCAGTATGGGGTGTAGCTGTGCCCAGTATTTCCTGGCTGAAAAGGGATTTTATTTATTTATTTTTTAAAATATATTTTTATTGATTTTTTTACAGAGAGGAAGAGAGAGGGACAGAGAGCCAGAAACATCGATGAGAGAGAACCATCCATCAGCTGCCTCTTGCACACCCCCAACTGGGGATGTGCCTGCAACCGAGGCACATGCCCTTGACCAGAATCGAACCTGGGACCTTTCAGTCCGCAGTCCAGCGCTCCATCCACTGAGCCAAACCAGTTTCGGCTGAAAAGGGATTTTAGATAACAATAACATTAGCTACGTTTTATGGAGGGCCTCAAAAGGTCAGATCCTGTGCTAAGCCATTTCTCCGTGTGACCCTGAATCCTCATGTTAACGCCTGAGACAGGAGCTCAGACCTCATTTTATAGGGAAGAAGGCTCAGAGAGCTTAAGCAACTTGCCCCAGGCCACACAGCCAGTGAGTGGCAGCTGGAATTCAAACCAGTATCTGCATGGCTCCGCACTGCATGCTCTGAAAGCATGTCTTCTAACGGCCCCATTTTATAAACATGCAACTGAGGCCTAGAGACCGGAAGTGGTTTACCCAGTCTACAAAACCTTGTGTAATAGCAATCAGAATTTATTTTATTTTTTAAATTGTTTTTAATATCTTTTTATTGATTTCAGAGAGTAAGGGAGAAAGAGAGAGAGAGATAGAAATATCAATGATGAGCCAAATCCGGTTTGGCTCAATGGATAGAGCATCGGCTTGGGGACTGAAAGGTCCCGGGTTCGATTCCGGTCAAGGGCATGTACCTTGGTTGCGGGCATATCCCCAGTAGGGGGTGTGCAAGAGGCAGCTGATCGATGACTCTCATCGATGTTTCTAACTCTCTATCTCTCTCCCTTCCTTTCTGTACAAAATCAATAAAATATATTTAAAAAAAAAAAAAAAAAAAGAAATATCAGTGATGAGAGAGAATCACTGATTGGCTGCCTCCTGCACACCCCCCACTGGGGGTCGAGCCCGTTACCCATATGCCTTGACCAGAACCAAACTGGGAACCCTTCAGCCCAGCATTTATATCGCACCTGCTGTTGTGGCAGTGCCTCGTGCTTCACGTATGCGACCAGCGGATTTAATTTTCACAACGGCCCGATGAGGCAGACATTATTGTGTCCGTTTTATAGATGAGGAAACCACGGCACAAATGAATTAAGGGAGGGGCTTACGGACACATAGCAAGCGCGTAGCAGAGCCGGAATCTGAGCGGAGGCAGCCCAGAGCGCTGGGCGTTGTTGCCCGGGGCCTCCGTTTCCCCTGCAGCGTGGGAGCTCCTTAAGGGCTCAGACACAGTCTGGCCCACCTCTGGGCCCCCAGGTCGTTCAGTACAGATGCCTAAGGTTTTCCCAAGTTCACACGACCTGAGGCTGCCCTGCCAGCGACCTGCAGCCTGCCCCTTCCTCTCGCCCAGCCTCCGTGTCCCATCTACCAAGCGGTGGTGTCTTCCCCACCCTGCTGACCTCACAGATTCAATGAGATAAAGGGTGCAGGAACCCGGCTTTCCGAGGAGCAAAGGTCTGGCTCCCAGGAGCCACGCCCCGAGAGCTGAGGAGGAGGACAGGTCTGGCATCGGGCTGGTCGGTGTCCGAGGCCAGCGGGCGGTGCAGGCAGCCCTGGACGGGGCGTCGGGCCCAGCCTGCCAGTGCTCGCTGTGTGACTCCAGGCTCACTTATCCCCCAGGGGTTCCCCTTGTCCTGCCTGTGGAATAAAGGGAGGTTGGTTTTGGGGGCTGAGGTGATGAGGGTGCCCCAGCATTACTGTCCCTCCTCCCTCAGGAAGCGGGGGTGAATCCGGGACGGCGGGTGGGCACTGCTGGGGGACTAGCCTATGACGCAGGGTGGGTGGCTGCCTGGAGGAGGAGGATCGGCCTCCTGGGGTCTTCAGACACCAGCCAGTGACCTTTGGGGGCCTGGGGTGCGCTGTAGGGAGAGAGCACCCCCACCTTTTGTTTAGAGTCTTTGGTGTCCATTTTGCCCCTGGTTATAAGACCCTCGGCTTTTCCTCGAATTCCCAACAACACTTCATCATCCCTGGCCTGAATGTTTTTGGCGGGACATTTGAGGGGACCCTGACCCTAGGACCCCAACATTGGGAGCTAAATAGAAGGTAGCCAGGAGAAGGGGTGGGGGTTGGGGTTTAGCACCCCTGGGAGTCAGAGCCCCGTTTCCCAGGAGAGGGGGGGGGAGGGTACCAGGAAAGGATGGGGTGGGGAATCTGTCTTAAAAATAGAAGTTTTGACCACTTAACTGGCCCTCACCTTTCTCTCTTTCTCTCTCTCTCTTCCACAGATGAACTGGGTGAGTACCACAGGGCAGTCTGAGGGAGGCTGAGGAGTCTGGTGCTCACAGACAGAGAGCTTGGCCTTCCTGGTTGGGGTGTTGAGGGGAGGGTCACCCTGTGGCTTCTGGGGCTGGGGGGGACATTTTAGCGGTCATGGTTAGCTGTGATGGGTGACTGGCATAGGCTGTACTGGCAGCTGCCGCTCGTGTCACTATTCATCCCTCCGGTGAGTTGTGCTGGGCACCTGCCGCTGGACTGAGCTCGTGTCAGGCTGTTCCAGGCCCTGGGGACTCAGTCACAGACGGAGTGCCTCTGGGGCTGGCACTCCAGTGGGGGAGACAGTAGAAAAAGGAGGAAAGGAGTAAGATAAGGTTAGACTGGGCAGAGGGCCCTGAAGGAAATAAAACAGGTAGCGTAGGGGATTGGCATTAGATGGGGCCTTTCTGGTGGTGGCATTTGAGCTACGACCAGAGGATGAGGAGACAGCAGGGGGTGAATGAGAGGAAGCGTGGGACAGGCAGATGGAGGAGCCAGAGGGCCAGGCGTGGGGAGCGCAAGCAACAGAAAACAGACCGCGTCAGTGTCAGAGGGGTGGCGGGAGGGCCCAGGGCAGCAGGAACCAGTCCGCAGCGTGGCTCTAGGCCAGCACCAGAGGTGCGGGGTTTTATTTTCGTTTTGCTTTTCTGAGATGAATGGGTTTGGAGAAGGTTTTGCATGGGGAGGAGTTGGCTCTGACCTTAAGGGAGATGGAAGCACTGGAGGCTTTGGACAGGAGCTCTCTCTGCTGCGTGTGGGGGGCAGACTGGGGGAGCAGGAGTGCTGGTCCCGGAAGACACGGAGGGTGGACCCGGAGGCAGTGGGGGTGGAGAGAATGGAGGAAGAGGCCTGAGTTCAGGCGTGGGACTCCCAGATGTGGGGTCATGAGGACTAACTCAGATGTGCACCCTCCAGGCCTGAGCACGTGGTGGGTGGCCGTGCTTGTAGGGAGGAGGGCAGTGGACATGCAGGCGCAGGGGGAGGAGAAACCAGACAGGCCCCGCTGCCCCGGGGTCTCTGGCTTCAGGAACTGGGGGGTGCGGGACAGGAGGGGCTTTGTGGGTTTGGGCATTGGGCGGCGCATGAGCAATGAATGGGTTGGGAGCGGCGGGAGGGAGCCTTTTCTCCTTTCATGACCGGCCTTTGCTTCCCCCGCAGAGATCATCGATGAGTACATCAAGGAGAACGGCTTCGGCCTGGAGGTGGCGCCGCCGGGCCCGGGCGAGGGGCTGGCGCGCCTGGTGTCGCGCGGGGCCACCCCGCTGAGCACCGTCACCCTGGGCCCCGCCGCGCCGCCGGCCCCGCCGGCCTGGGGCTGCCCGCTGGGCCGGCTCGGGCCCCCGGCCCCCGGCGCCGGGCCGCGGCCGCACCTGGTCATCGTGGAGCAGCCCAAGCAGCGCGGCATGCGCTTCCGCTACGAGTGCGAGGGCCGCTCGGCCGGCAGCATCCTCGGCGAGAGCAGCACCGAGGCCAGCAAGACGCTGCCCGCCATCGAGGTGCGGCCCGGGCCGGGGGGAGGCTGGAGGGGACGGCGGGGGGCGGGGGGACGGGATCGCGCTTCCCCGCCCCAAGATTCGCATCGCGTGTAGGGAGCCAGGTGTTGCATGGTGGCATTAGCCTCCTGTTGCTGTTGTTGGAGCTGGTGATGCTGTCACGTGGCCCCACATGCAACAGGGCCTGCAGAGAGAGGCTTCATCCGGCACTTTGGCGGTCTTTTTTTTTTTTTTTTTTTTTTTTTTTTTTTTTAATATATATTTTATTGATTTTTTACAGAGAGGAAGGGAGAGGGAGAGTTAGAAACATCGATGAGAGAGAATCATCCATCAGCTGCCTCCTGCACACTCCCCACCTGGGACGTGTCCGCAGCCAAGGTACATGCCCTTGACGGGAGTGGAACCTGGGACCCTTGAGTCTGCAGGCTGACGCTCTATCCACTGAGCCACTTTTGGCAGTCTTGATGCAAACTACAGGGCGGGAGGGGTAGCCTGATTGCCTGGGTTGCCATCCCCTTTCAGCTGCTTGCTAGTCGTGCAGCCTTGGGCAGGTTCCACAGCCCCACTGTGCCTCAGTTTCCTCCTCTAGGAAATGGGATAGTAAAAATAACTGGGCTGTATGATGAGTGAATGAGCTCATCATACATGCTAAGGACCTCCAGCTGGTAAGCACTCACTAGAGTTGAGCTGCTGGTACTGTTATATTATCACTAGAGGCCCAGTCCTGCCAGCTTCACCCAGTCCCCATCTGTCAGACCCCAGCAGCAAGCTAACCTGCCGGTGGGAGCATCTGCCCCCTGGTGGTCAGTGTGCGTCATAGCTACCGGTTCAACGATTGCTTAGGCTTTTATATATATAGATGATCATCGCTCTAAGGCCTGGCCATTCCCCTCTCAGGACTTTATAGTGTAGCTGTGTCTGTGTCTGGGCACACAGCGGGATGTACGAGGTTACCTAGGGTAGCCTTGTTTGCGTGAGGAAAAGGACAGTTCAGTGTGCATCAGTGAGGGAGGGACTGGTGAACAAATCAACAAACAGCTACGCGTCAGAATTCTGGGCAGCTGTAGCACGTATATCTGTGTAGTGTGCAGATAAGTATACATAACTACGGTTAATACAGAAAAAAAAATTAAATGAAGATTCCGTTAGGTACTGATGTGGAAGTATTTCCAAGATATATTGACAATCCCTCCCCCAAATGGAGGAGGGTAAGGTATGATACTGGCTTTTGTGTTAAGAGAGGGGAAAATAAGATTTTAATTTTGTGTTTGTGAGGATGCACATAAAGAATCTCTGGAAGGGAAAACAAAATTTAGTAAAAGTGATTACTTTTGAGGAGGAGTGCTCTGATAAGTACAGTGTTTTTTTTTTTTAACTATATACATCTTCATTTTGTTTTAAATATTTGAGTCATAGGATGCAGTTCAAAATGTTTGAAAATATAAAGATTCATATTAACAGAATTTAAGTTAAAATGAACAGAAGGCACTTCCCCCCACCCCCAACCCCGAGATAACCATTGTTATCAGTATCTCATATGTCCTTCCAGCAGGATTTTGATTATACAGGTAAACATATACATACATAAATACCATCCACCTTTTTGTACATAGAGGGGAGCATGACATATACACTGAGTGGGTAGATTATTATGATCTCTGAACCAGGGGGAGGGTACTTGGGGAGGGAATATGGGCGGCTGGCTGGCCTGCCTGGTGGTCGAACTCCTGGTCAAGAAGACAATTTGCATATTAGCCTTTTATTCTATAGGATATACACTGGGTGGCCAGTTTATTATGCGTTCAGAGATCGTAATAATCTGCCCACTCAGTGTATATACAGATGATCCCGGACTTACCAGATGGTTCCACTTAAAATATTTTGACTTTGCGATGGGGTGACATTTGTTATACACCTAATCAATTGCATGAGCTATTGCACCCTTTATTATAAAACTGGAGGCCCAATGCACAGATGTGTGCAAGGCCTTCCTTCCTCTGGCTGTCGGCACCACCTTCACTCTGGCCTGAGCCTCCTTTCCGCTCTGGCCTGGAGTTGCCTTTCTGCCTTCCCACGCTGCCCAGAGGCCAGAGCAGCTGGGGTGGTGCGGAATGCCTGCATCTTGTCCCGCCCCTGGCCAGTTGGTGCCTGTGTATGCAAATTAGCCCTGCATCTTTGTTGGGTTAATTTGTATACTCACTCCTGATTGGCTGGTGGGCCCTGTCCAGGTAGCTCTGTTGGTTGGAGCATCATCCTGTACAGCAAAAGGTTGTGGGTTCGATTTCCTGGTCAGGGAACATACCTCATTGTAGTCGGGTCCCGTGTGGGAGGCAACCGATTAATGTTTCTCTCTCACATCAGTGTTTCTCTCTCCCCCTCTATCCCTCTCTCTCTCTCCCCCTCTATCCCTCTCTCTCTCTCCCTCTCTATCCCTCTCTCCCTCTCTATCCCTCTCTCTCTCTCTCCTCTATCCCTCTCTCTCTCCCTCTCTCTCTCCCTCTCTCCCTTTCCCGCCCTTTCTCTCTCTCTAAAAATCAATAACATATCTTCAGGTGAGGACAAAAAGGAAATATCTTGGAGCTCAGTGCACACTAGCATGTATAAGCTGCCCTCTGCTCTTTCCCGTGGGGTCCGTAGTGTGGGAGTGTGGTCATTTCGCGTGCAGCGACTTATTGTTGGGCAGTTGCATTACTTGCGTTACAGTCTCCCGCTATTTATTCATTATAAACAGGGTGACACGGCTCACCTACTATTTCCTTCATTTGTGTCACTCACATAACTTCTTGAAGTGGAATCGCTGGTCAGAATGATTTGATGGCTATTGCCCAATGGTCCTCCCTGGGGACTATATCCATGACTGCTTTTCCCAGTGACGCCTGTGGCCCGGGTCCTCGCTCTTTCCCAACACGGAGCCTCCGTGTGCTTCGGGATCTTTGCCCAAATGTTTACGGAACCTCCACTGGGTACTCACCATCCCCCCAGTTCCCTTCCCACTCACCAGCTGTCAGTCTCCGCCAAACCCCCCACCCCACCCCCGCACACAGCAGCCAAAGAGGCCTGTTAAATTGCACATCTGCTCCTCTCCCCTGCTCACAACCCTCCCCCGGCTCCCAAGTGCACACATAAGGAAGCCCCAGCCCCTTTCTGGGCCTCCAAGACCTTTCATTGTCTGGCCCATTTCCACCCATCCCCTCCTCGCTCACCACCCTCAACACCAGGCCTTCGCACATGCTGTTCCTTCTACCTGGAGTGCTTTCCTCCTGCAGCCTGGTCTCCCCCTCCCCACCCCCGAGGCCACAGCCCACCTCAGGGCCGGAGCTCCCTAGGCTGAGGTCTCCTGCCTCTCTGCCCCTCCCCCTCCCTCACTGGGACTTGTATTCGTGGGTGTATTTGAGTGACTAGCAGAGCAGACTTGTCCTTCCCTACAGTTTGGGATTTTAGGGTCAAAAAGACTTGGGTTTGAGTTTTGCCTCTACCACTTACCAGCCACGTGAATAGGGACAAGCCCAGGGCTTCTCTTGGCCTCGGTTTCCTCATCTGTGAAATGGGGATAAAGCGCCTGCCCACGGGTCGCTATGAGGACGCTGGGATAATGGTCTGGCATCGGCGTGCTGCCCCCTCTGCCCAGCTGGATGGTTGTAGTTGTTTGATTTGTCTCCGGGCATCATGGCCTACGGCGGCCTGCGGTCAGCCAGCCGTTCTGGTTCAGAGAATGATTTCCTTTGGGATGGATATTCCCAGTCACTGGATTTTCGGGAAGGAGATGAATGTGACGCACTGCTGGGCAGTCCTAGTCCCTTGTTTCTCTTTAAGCATTTTGTCTGTTTGTTTCAGTGGATAGGGGATTCTTTTCAACTCTGTCTCAGCTTTTTCTTTTGAAAAATGTTAAACCGCCGAAACCGGTTTGGCTCAGTGAATAGGGTGTCGGTCTGCGGACTGAAAGGTCCCAGGTTCGATTCCGGTCGGGGGCATGTACATTGGTTGCGGGCACATCCCCAGTGGGGGGTGTGCAGGAGGCAGCTGATCGATGTTCCTTTCTCATCGATGTTTCTAGCTCTCTATCCTTCTCTCTTCCTCTCTGTAAAAAAATCAATAAAATATATTTTTTTAAAAAAAGAAAGAAAAATGTTAAACCTACATAAAAAGGACAAGAATAAGTCAATGCACACCCATCGCCTTTTACATTTGTTTTATGTTCCTCTCTCTATATACAGACATTTATGCATTTTAAAAAAAAAGTTATTTATTTTTTGAGAGAAACAGGAAGGGAAAGAGAAACATCGATTTGGAGTTCCGCTTATCTCTGCTTTTATTGCTTGTTTCTTGTCCGTGCCCTGACCAGATATCTAACCCCAAACCTTGGTGTGTCAGGACGATGCTCTAACCCAGGGGTCAGCAAACTCATTAGTCAACAGAGCCAAATATCAACAGTTCAATGATTGACATTTCTTTTGAGAGCCAATGTTTAAAAACTTAAACTATACAGGTAGAGACGTTGTTATTAACTAGAGGCCAGGTGCACAAAATTCGTGCACGGGGGTGGGGGAGTGGGCAGAGGTATCCCTCAGCCCAGCCTGCACCCTCTCCAATCTGGGACTCCTCGAGGGATGTCAGACTGCCCGTTTAGGCCCGATCCCACCGGGCAGTCTGACATCCCTCTCACAATCCAGGACTGCTGGCTCCCAACTGCTCTCCTGCCTGCCTTCCTGTTTGCCCCTAACCGCTTGGTCTTTGCTAAAAACTCAAGGAGCCACAGAGCCGCATGTGGCTCGCGAGCCGCAGTTTGCTGACCACTGGCTCTAACCAACAGAGTACCCGGCCAGGGCCCAAAATATTTTGCATCGCTCTTGTTGCGTTGCTTGCTTATTTCATAACCAGTCTGGGCTCACATGCTGCATGTATCAGGCCTTGCTATGGTCTGCATGTTTGTGTCCCCCAGATTCCTATGTTGCAAGTCTAACCTCCAAGGTGATGGTATTAGGAGGTGGGGGGGCCTTTGGGGT